GATTCAGCTCTTTCACCTCCTCCTACCACTAGGTACCTATAAACCTTCTAATTCCTCTCTTCATACCTCTGCTCCCTCTATTAACTTATTAAATGAGTTTACTATTCTGTTGATACTGTAGATACCCGGGGACGATGCTCGTTCGGTATCGCCGACGATGGAATTCTTTATCTTGAACCTAACGAGGATATAACTCGAGCTTCACCTTAAAAGAATGACCATCCATACGGGGAGTTCTAAGGAATAAGGAATACGCCTTGATACCTAAGTTAGTTAGGGCTTTAGTAAGACAGATATAAGAGAGACTATGAAGTAGGATATATTGATGTGTACATTATGCATGACATGAGGATGGATATTTATAGTTTTCGGTGGATGACAAGAGGATATAGGTTGTTTATGGTCCACCACATATATAAAAGCTACTCTTAGGCAATCTATCATCGGGGGTAATGGGATGAGGTCGTTTGTTTTGGGTCACTATGTCGTGTCCAATACTTTAGGGACAGTATGCATAGGGTTTACCTTTGTCCTTTAACGACATGTTTTTGGAAAAAACTGACATTCTCTGTTGTTGTATCATTACCATATTCAACCTCCGGATACTCTTCCGGTATGTTGGGCTTCCAGACCGATCTCTGAGGGATGTAATCCCTCTTCACCGTGGTCTTTAAAATTGCCATTTATTAGTCTTTTAAATGACATGTTTTTTTATCTATCTCTATCTACTCTAATAAATAAAAACCATTTATGTCACTTGTCACATTCTCATGTATTTTGACACATGTAATTTTGTGGTTAATTCTTAGAAGTAAATTTTCACTTGTCATTTTGTGGTAATTTTTTATATTTTTAATTAACTATTCTAATTTGTTTCCTTATATTTTTTATATGTCATTAATTTGTTTCCTTATATTTTCAAGTTTTAATATGTTTCCTTCAATGTATATAATTCAAAATTGACATTTTCTTTCAAAGTTCATTGTCATTTTAGACAAAATGGTCTATATAGGAAAAATAATCAAACTTTGTTGTTTTTCATTGATAAAACTAAAAAAAAAGGTTATATTACCAAAATATAATTATTTCTCGGTGCTTTGTTTTATTAATATAAATTGAATTATTTATTTATTCATCATTTTGTTTGTATATATTTTAAAATTTTACTTTAAAAAATATTTAATGTCTACACATTGACATTTAACATTTTCTTTAAAAAAATATTTAATATTTGTATTTTTATATATAATTTTTTTTAATCAACTCGTGTAGTACATATCTCACATCTAGTTTGATAATACAAGATATTTAGAACAAAACAATAATATAAGATCCAAAACTAAATAAGGCTTTTGAATTCTTTGAGCTTCCCATGACATATAAATAACATGGAACTATGCTACATTCAAACTATTATCGTTGGACTTTTCCATGGATCATTAAGCAAGTTACTAAAACAAAAAGGACTACTTACAACTATACAAGTGTAGCCCCAACACTTCTTGATTTTATTGGCAATTATTGGAAGACCGGACCACCTTTCAAACGTGCGCATTAGTATACAAACATATTCAGACAAATTTATTAGAAAAAAAATCACACGAATTTATTTAATTATTAGTATTTGATTTGAGTTGTTTTTAAATGATTATATTTAGGGTTTGTTTCATAAAAGACTTTGTATTTTATTTCATGTATTCTACAATTAAATTTGTTTTTTTTTCCTAAAAGTAAATTCAAGTTTTTTGTTATTTTATTTTTCATTTAAAAACAACTTTGTATTTTCTTTATCATGTATTCTACTAATTTTTGTTATTTTATTCTTGGAGTCGGTTACCAATAGATAATTCTATTGGCTTTATCCCATAGAAGACTATACATTTTTTTTATATTATGTTTTAGACAAAAAAAAAATTTCAAAATAAGCTCATTTTTTTACATATTCTTTGTTATTTCATTCTTAGAGTCTTTTACCAACATGTATCTTATACCTCACTAACTAATGTATGCCCTAAGCATCAACCACCTAAAAGAAGAAACTATTTCTAAAAATCCAGGATAAACGACACTTATATTATCATAATAAACGAGGGTAGTCTTAGTAAAAGGCAACGAAAGCTCAAAAGAAAAAAGGTTCTTAATCAAACATGTTTCTAAAACCACATTAGCAACACCTTGTGTTGGGTTATTGATGCTTATTACAAAATTAGAAGAAGACATAAACTACGAGGGCAAATTAAACAAAACATCATAAAATAGTTATGGATCTATGTTTATTCAACTTTATGCAATAAAGTTTATAATAATACAAGAAAGATAGACAATTAACTCAACTTGAAGTCAACAAGAAACCAGAGAACTCAAAATAGAGCTCATTTATCGTAGTCGCACCCATTGGTTTCAAACAAGTAAGATTTTATTTTTGTGCTCCAAGCAAAATTTGACCAAACCCTTGTGGAAAGGTTCTTGAGCCGGCAGAGGGAGGATGGAGAAGATGATCAAATTATGATTTCATTAGTTGTCTCTTTTGGTCTTACATGCCTTAAATAAATAACAAACCCTAGGAGTCTTTCTGAACGTCCAACTTTACTGATTTATGGCACGAATTAGGGTGTGCGCGGTGCGGTTTGGTGCGGTTTAGAGTCAAAACCGCAAACCGCACCGCATGTGCGGTTTGAAATATTTGGAAACCACAAACCGCACCGCAAAGGTTGTAAACCGCGTTGTGCGGTGCGGTGCGGTTTGATATGGTGCGGGCGGTTTAGGTGCGGTTTGATACCATTGCAAATAGAATATATATATATATATATATATATATATATATATATATATATATATATATATATATATATATTAAATATTTAATAGCCGTTGTTGAATATTAGAGTACATATATGGTTTGGATTACATTGCATAATTAGTTATCGTTCTACAGGTCATCAACTATATTACAACCCTTAACAAATTATACAAAGCAGTTAGAAATATATATGTAATTTGGATCGATAATATATAATTATATATACGTAATTTGGTTCGATTTGTCTGAGTTTCAATGCAATATATATATATATATATATATATATATATATATATATATATATATATATATATATATAAACATTGCGGTGCGGTGCGGTGCGAACCTCGAATTTGTAAATGTAAACCACAAACCGCACCGCATAGTGCGGTTTATAAAAATTACAAACCGCACCACAAACGTCAAAAACCGCATTATGTGGTGCGGTTTGGTGCGGTGTGGGCGGTTTTTGCGGTTTATGCGGTTTGGTGCACACCCCTAGCAAGAATGCCATAATTCAAACTTCTACCCATTAATGCATAAAAGTCTTTATCCGTAGTTTCTAGTTATTACATTATTAATTAATAAAATAACTAATCAACCCCATTATTTATTTATTATTGCTTTTCAATAGTCAAGTGTGTAACCCAACAGACTAATGTATTTATTAATTGTGTAACTAACTTATTGTGTCGGTCGGTATATCTCCAACACCATGGTATTCGGGGCTCGACATGTGTCGGGACAACCAACCCAATCGATGTCAATATACGTGGTAAACACGTGGAAAAAATATTATAAATTATAAGACAATATGAAAGAGAACCTTCAACATAACATGGTGCACACTTTAAAGCTACCAGATGGAATTCACGAGGTGCATATATGTGGAAGCATATATGTTGAACTGCATATAAGATATTCGGTCGAGTGAATGTGAGTTATTGAAGCGTTCCAACACGGCTACGATATAGAGTGACGTTTGAATAGTCCATCACTGGTACTAACTTTTCCCATGTCACTTTCAAATATGTGTGTGATCAGTAAATAGGTATTCTAAATCTTATTTGTGTGTTAATCTCCAACAACTTTGTAAGAATGAGAAAAAGGATAATATGGGTTGGGATAGGTAGGGTTAAGTGTGGGCCCAATCTTCTTTTTATTAAAATTATTACACTTTAAAATAAATAGGAAAACGTGTAAAAAACAAACCAAAATGGAAAGTGAGATATTTCAGTTTGAACTTTGAAGAGAGATCAAATTCACTAGGCCTGGCAATCGTGTCGTGTTCGGGTTGGCGTGTCGCGGGCTGTCGGGTTGGCGGGTCAAAATATGCCAACCCAAACACGACCCATTTAAATATACAGGTCACAGGTTGGCGGGTCATGGGTTGGCGGGTTTGGAACATAAACCCATATATGACCCGCCAACCCATTTATTTATACAGGTTGGCGGGTTTGGAACATACCAGAAGATTGTATTGGCGACTCACGTTCAGGGCTTCACCGCTTCAACCTTTACGCGTCAACGTCGTTTGTGATTTCGATACACGATTTGATTTCGATACCTGATTTCAATCACATAGTAACAGAGGGGAGAGTGGGACTGTGGGAGATCGGGAGACTGGAAGTCTGGAATAGCCGAAGAGGGAGATATACTCATATGTGATTTGATTATTTAGGGCAAATGGTTAAAATGGTTACAGACTTTTCCTTACAGGTTACGACTTATGACCTTAGGCCATCCACACGAGTCAAAATGTCAAAACAATCAAATGGTCTATGAATCAATGGTATATATTATATAATACTTATTAAATATTAATACTTATTACTTGATACATAAATGCATTTAAAAATAAAACAATTTTTTTTATTAAAAATATAAACGGGTTGGCGGGTCAACCCGTTTATTTTTTGAGAAACCCATATATGACCCGTGTAATAAACGGGTTAGCGGGTTGGCGGGTTAAAAAACTCAACCCAAACCCATTTATTTCGTGTCGTGTCGCGGGTTGTGTCGAGAATTGTCAACCCTAAAATTCACAATGAATAATTGTCATAAGGGCATTATATGCAAAATTTGAGCTTTATGGACTCAAACCCCAACAAAATGACAAACACAAGGACCAAATTTGTAGTTTTCTCAAAATTATACTACATTCATAGATTCCCTCCCAGATATTTGGCAAAAGCTGCATCTCCGTCTTCTATCCTCCCTTCCACTGATTGTGTTATGAAGATTCAGTATATTCCTTCATCTTCCTATTTGCATCAGATCAAACCCAACCTCCATAAAAACCCTAAAACAAATCCATCATGGACTTCACGATTTCATCAAACACGTAATTCAACACCATTCTGCTCCTACAGATCCAATACGTATGTTGGAATCCTCACTCTGTGATGTGTGCGAAACAATGTTTTTTTTTCCTTAATTTCTGGTTCTTGTTTTCTCGATCAGCAGTTACTATTACGCATATACGACATGCCAACTGCAAGGAGAGGATTCACAATTCAAAAGAATTTCAAAGAAACAGAGTAAAGGGGATGATCCCAGTCCCAGTCTTCCGATTACAGTTTCCGGCAGGAAAAAGGGTTCTGTTGCCGGTGCAGTAGCTCTAATAATTGGTACAAGTATCGGGTCGGGGATCCTTGCTCTACCACAGAAAACTTCTCCTGCGGTAAGAGACTTCCATAATTGCATTAACGAGATCCCGGATGCAGATGCTTTCCGGTGACCCTTTTACATACAACACAGTTTTGAAACCAGATCTTAAACCTTACTTCATTAGTTTTCAATACTTTGAAATACTCTAAAATACAGGGGTTGATTCCAAGTTCAATATCTTTGAGTTTGTGTTGGGGATTCCTGTTGATTGAAGCATTGTTACTAGTCGAAATCAATGTGGGACTTCTTAAAAAGAAGAAGAACATAGTGAAGAATGAGAATGAGTTGGAAGTGATCTCCATTAGAACCATGGCTCAAGAGACATTAGGTGAATTGGGTGGAACCATCGCCACTTTGACCTATGTGTTCTTGGGGTACACATCCATGATTGCTTATGCTTCAAAATCCGGTGAAATTCTTTTCCATCTGGTCAGGATTCCGGAATCAGTTTCCGGGGTTTTCTTCACCATGCTCTTTGCAATTCTCATTTCCATTGGAGGAACACGAACAACAGATCAAGTGAATCAAGTCCTGACAGTCTCAATGATAGGTATTCTTATTATTCTCACTCACTGCTTGTGTATCTAAGTATCTATATATGATGTGCTACAAATACAATGTAGGGTTGTTAGTAGCAATTGAGGTTCTAGCGATCTTGTTTGGAGGGTGGTCGGGATTTGAAGGCAATGGTGATTGGACAAAAGTTCCATCAACTATTCCTGTCATGATATTTTCTTTGGTTTATCATGATTTAGCTCCTGGTAATGATCAACTTTTCTTGGCTGTTTTGACTTTTGACTATTTTTTTTGGTTTACCTCAAATCAACTCTACATGCTTTTACTTCAAATTTTCATGGATGTTTCAACTTATCCTAGTAACTTACTAACTCCTGTCAACTCTCCATGTCTTTGACCATGTAATCTCGTGTATTATGATGAAATCTTGATGGGTGTTTTGACTATTTTCAGTTCTTTGTGCTTATTTGGATGGTGATATTGAACGCATAAGGACTTCAGTTATTCTTGGTAGTATTGTACCTTTGGTAGGACTCTTGGTTTGGAACGCGATAGCTCTTGGTCTCTCGAGTCAAACTGAGCCCCTCATCGACCCAGTTGAGTTGCTCATGAGGTCTCTCTCTCTCTCTCACACATACACACACACTTGACTAAATTCGTTTATATGATCTCAAAATTGTAAATTCAGGCAAAAATGGGATGGAGTTGAGGTCATGGTAGAGGCATTTTCACTTCTAGCAGTTGGGACATCAATAATAGGAACCCTCCTAAGCTTCTCTCAGTTCTTCAAAGAGCAAATAGTCAATAATTTGACTTGGGGTTCTTCATCATCATCACAGGCAAACTCAACTCTATTCCCAAAAAAAAGTCCGGATTTTAAAGCTAAAATCTTGATTTCTCTTGCAGAAATCAAGAACCGAGTTAAGTGGGATGGTGGGAAAGTGGTGGAAAAACAATAGAACCGGTTTCACAGCCACAGCTATGGTTGTTGCTCCATCTCTTTTTGTGTCTACTACTGTTCCAGACGTGTTCTCTTCTGCTACAGACATTGCCGTAAGCTTATGTGTGTGTGTTCTGAAGGTGTTTTTCTGTGTGTAAACTGTAAACTCTTATCTTTTTAATTGATGTTATCCAAACAGGGAGGCTACTGCATGACAATGTTGTATGGAGTACTTCCACCAGCTATGGCATGGGCTATGCATGATGATGATGATGATGATGATGATAAAGGAATATCAAGAACAAGACCAGTCATACTTGCGATTGGACTATTTGCTTGTGGATTCATAATGGAACAAATGTTTATTGATCTATCAATCTGGTGGAATCATAGTGTATAAAAAGTATGCAACCATAGCATAGTTTCAAATACAAGTTGTAGATGTAAAATCTCAGTCCATAATGAAAACAAATAATGTTACACAAGCAAAAAAGATTGAATTTTTGTTCAAGAACACATACTGCAACTGCAAACTTCATTAGTATTTTACGGAGGTGATATGCTTCAGAAGCATCTCAACAACATCAAGTGAAATCCTATCGGCTTCTGTTTTGAGGTGTTGAATCTTTTCATCTGTTTCCTTCTCCAGACGTTTCACATTTGCACCCGAGTCTCCACTTGACTGTTTGTTTCCCATGAGTTAAAAAAAAATGGTTGTTTTTGGTGTTAAATGAATGCTTGTTTTGGGATTTTAAGTGTCGCTTACCTCAGTGAGTTTTCTTTGATAATCAGCTTCCATTTGAGCACGAAATTCAGTCACCTCCCTCTCAGCCTCTTCTTTGGCTTGTTTTAGTCTAGCCAACTTTGCTGAAAACAGATCAAAAATTAGATCTCATGGTGTTTGTTCTAGAATCAAAGCTTTATTTTGACTTTTGAATTTTGAAGTCAAACTAGTAGTTGACAACAAAGATCTCAATCAAGGAAAATGGTGAAAAGAAACCAGAAAATACAGACCATTTCGGGCAGCATTCACGATTTGTTGAGCTTCTTGCTCTGCTGTTAACAGTAGTTGGATTCCATTTTGGCCCCTGTTCCCACCATCCATATTTGCTAATAATCTCTACACACCAAGAAAGTGCGACATTAGATTAATGTAAAATTACAAAACTATCCCTAACTTTAATCAATTTGTTGCAGATATTCAACCCATCAAAATCGGGTTAAAACCAATCAAACATATTCAACCCATCATCAAAGAACACCACCAGATAAATCATCACAAATCCTGTTAGCTAGAAGAAAACTTACATAATTGATGAGTTCTTTTTAATTGATTAAACCCATGATCCAATTACTTATAAGTTCTACGGAATCATTGATGAACAAGCTCGCTTGACAAATTTAAGTAACCAAATTATATTCTATCGTTTAAAAGTAGTATCATCAAACCCGATCCAAAATATGGTTAAACCGATAGGAGTTAGACATATTAGCCACACAAATCGAACTATAAAGGATAATTTTACAAGAAAATTGCACAGAGATCGTTAATTAACAATCTGTATGTTCTAATATTCAACTGTTATCGCACTAAATTGAAATGAACTACCAAGAAATCAGGGTAAGATACGTTTATCGTAGATTAAAACCCAGATCAAGCAATATTACTAATATTCAGAACTTAAGATCATGAACAGAGACAGCAAGCAATGTTGATCCACAAAGCAGAAAAACAAAGAAGGGTGAAAGATTTGGGGAAAACATAGAGAAAGAAGGTGCGAGAAGATACCTAAAAAAGGGAAGATTGGTGTAATGATTTATCAACCAAAGGGAAGATGGTAATGAGGAGAAGTCGATGACGGAGATCTTGTTTGCTATTTTACCTTTGGGAGAGTTTTGATCTGATAGAGTATAGAGTTGGACTCCTCTTTCTTTTCCCTTTTTTATTCCCAAAAAGTCGAAATTTTATCAACCAATTGACCTATTAACGAATTTTAGGGTAATTGTTTACGTGGAATTTTATCTTCGAAAACTATCTTTAATCACAAATTTTCAGATATAATAACCTAATGATTTAGCAAAAATCATCTTAAAGTTATTGGTAACAATTTTTTTATATAATAATAGTGAGCCTATTATTATATAAAAATTAAAATTAACGAAAATCAAATGTGAAGATTGAGATATAGTTCTTTCAAATTAACAATAATTAAGTTAATTATAATTTTGACTCGTAGTGCTTAAAAAGTTTGTCTTAAAAACCTAATATACACAATACAAAAAATGATAAAAACATGTCATCTAAAAGTCTAAGGCATGTGTGGTGTTATAGTTTTTATATATAGTAGAAGTATTTTTTATGTTTGTGCATGATATATATATATATATATATATATATATATATATATATATATATATATATATATATATAGATATATATATATATATATATATAATTTTGACTCGTAGTGCTTAAAAAGTTTGTCTTAAAAACCTAATATACACAATACAAAAAATGATAAAAACATGTCATCTAAAAGTCTAAAGCATGTGTCGTGTTATAGTTTTTATATATAGTAGAAGTATTTTTTTTTTGTTTGTGCATGATATATATATATATATATATATATATATATATATATATATATATATATATATATATATATATATATGTTCTATGGATAACAAATAACTAAGACAACATATGTTGCAACCAATAATTAAATGACACGTGTGCATTTCTTTATTCACAAGTAATGTATTATGGAAATTATTTATGTAATTACCCTAAAATGATGTGTTGTCATGTTTTCATTGGTTCAAATATGTGTTGCCATAATTATTCATTTATATATAACCCTTCCCTATATATATATATATATATATATATATATATATATATATATATATATATATAAACCTCAATTTGTCATTGGGTTCATCAAGATGACCGGAAACGCCGAACCCATTGAAAAGGGTTTCAAACAATTCGCGACACGCATCGTAATTAAGGTGCTCTAAGTCAAGAATGAAAGGAATCGAGGCTTAATATTTGTGATGTATATGTCTTTTCTGAAGTAGTCGGGGGTAGCCATGGATCTTTAGCAATGATGCAGGAGAAAGAAGGATGAAAAGAAAAAAATGGTCGGTGTGATGGATAGGGTTGAAAAATGAAAAAGAAAATATGATTTTAGAAGATAGTTGAGTGTAACGTCTGTATTTTTCGTTAGACAAATCATCCTCATGTACGTTAACGAATTAATATAAAATTTTATTATAAATAAGAAATATTATTACATGTTGTGTGTTTATGAAGTGTTATTTGTATATAATAGTGTATTTATGATTATATGGACAAATATTATAACGGTATATTTTGTATAAAATACGGTTAAAACGTAACGAAAAAGCTAAAAATAATTATTAAAAATAAATATTTAGGATGAATTGGCTAAACGAAAGTAATAGTATTCGTCAATATGAAATTATCGATATAAAAAACGCCCAAATCTGACTTCATATGAGAAAATTATGATTTTTCGAAGTTTCGATTTCGACACGATATGCGTCATAAAAAATCAAATCGAAAATCGATTGCTCATTGGACAAAACAATTTAAATGAAAGTTGTAGTGCTCTTCGATACAAAAGTATGGATAAAAAGAACGTCGAAAAGGGAGCTCGTATGAAGAAGTTATGAGTTTCACAACATCATTTATAGTGTAAGTCCTCTCTAACCATAAAGTGAAAAATAAAATATGAATTAGCCGATGAAGTCAAAATGAAAATTGTAGTACTCATCGATACAAAATTGTGGATATAAAAACCATCGAAAATGGAGTCTGTATTCGAAAGTTGTGATTTAAAAAAAATTTGGACGACCCAGATCACACCACGTGGCACCGCGGATGGCTGACACATGGCACAATATGATACCACCCTTCCTCCCCACGCCTTGAAACCATATGACGACATGTGGAATAGCACGGCGTGCCTCTTTGAATTCCCTATAAATACCCTCATTTTCTTGTTCATTTGTGCACCAAAACCATCCAAAACACTCCCAGTTAAACTTTCTTGAACCCTCGAGATCCGATTTTAGTAGTTCTTAGGTGTTAGTGGTGAAACTCTAGAGCGCCATAGACCCGGAGAAATAGAGCTTTCGGTTTCGAAGTTCTACTCACACGGTTTTTGGTTTTTTGCTAAACAACTTGTAAGTTGAGTAATGTTTACCATACTTTAAGTATAACTTATATTTATGTTTGTAATCACTATTATTAACTTATAAATAAGATTTATCAGTACTACTAGTCGTTATACTGATTGATCTATTTACGAGAATAATGTCTAGGCCAGATTTGTGAGGTTTTTAAAGTGGATTTTCCAAACAGTATATCTTTATATGTCAAACGGATCATACCTCTGATACGATCTTACCTGGTTGTTTCTTATCAGTTATAAGTCAGTATTCGTTTGGAATTATTGATAAATCTGAGAAACTATAATTATGATCGCGAATAATATAAACGATGATTGCACGTAGTAATATTTATATATAGGTCCTTTTAAAAGAAAAGGCCGAAGTGTATTTCGGAGCGCAGACTTAACTAAAAGTAATTCACCTTTAACCAAACGAGCGTGTAGTTACTTTGAAGAGCATAATTATAATAAAAGTGTTTATCGCTCAAAGGATTAATTATATATTAACCGTTTACTATATGTATTTTTTGTGCCGATTTAAATACTTGAATTATAATAGTATTGTATGATCAGGGAACTTTATTTAATGTCGATTTCTTTTATTATAGTATTGTTTAATTATAAATTAAGGCTTATAAAGGATGTTTTAGTTTGAAGTAAGTTAAATAACTGAATAGACTCATAGTTGGGTAATGTGTGAGATTAAAGTGGAGCGTAATAGTTCTCCTCCTTTTAGACAGCCAGAAATGGTGTGTCTGATTCGGAAAACTGGCAGGTATAGACGGTCTTGTGAATTACGTTGCTAGTGTGGACTTATAACACGTAGACGTAGATAAAATACCAAATTTATCAAATACTTTGAACATTGGTTGCCTTTAAATGACTTACATTGGCCAATGACTCCCCTAGTTGTGTAGTCAAACAGTTACTCAAACGATTTATCATGTAAAGTGATTCTTCCAGATAATCGTTGAACTAGGATGTGTAAGAATCAATTGGACTATGTATGTATGGGTAAATTATAAATATTTACATTGGATTTATTTATTTATATTGTTTGGAAATGTTTGTTTTGCAGGATTGTTAATATATTTAATATCATTAAATTATTATGGACTTGAAAACCCTATGTATCTCACCATGTTTTCTTAAACCTTGCGCACACAATTTATATGAATCACAGGTAGCAGAATTAAGGCTG